GGTGTCATTTCTTCTGAGCTTCACAAAGGGCAAACTAAGAAGTCTCTATAGAAGACAGGAAGTGATGTTGGCCACAGACAGGAAGTAATGTTGGCCACAGACAGGAAGTGATGTTGGCTACAGACAGGAAGTTTCATGAGGCACAAAGAAGAGGAGACATTGCTGGATGAGGCAGCAGAGGAGGTACTAAGATCATATTTGCCATTTACACCCAGTAACCCCCCATCATGTCCGTCCTCTTACTCTATCATTACATCCATCCTCTTCCTCCACTGTCACGTCCGTCTTCTTCCACCGTCACGTCCGTCTTCTTCCACCGTCACGTCCGTCTGCATTTTCCATCGTCACGTCCGTCTTCTTCCACCGTCACGTTCGTCTTCTGCTTCCACCGTCACGTCCATCTTTCACCGTCACGTCCGTCTTCTGCTCCACCGTCACGTCTGTCCACTTCCTCCACCTTCACGTCCGTCCTCTTCCTCCACTGTCACGTCTGTCCATTTCTTTCCACCTTCACTCCCATCCTCTTCCTCCACCTTCACTCCCATCCTCTTCCTCCACCGTCACGTACGTCTCTTCTTCCGTCACGTCCGTCTTCTTGTTCTTCCACCGTCACGTCCGTCTTCTTCTTCTTCCACCGTCACGTCCGTCTTCTTCTTCTTCCACCGTCACGTCCGTCTTCTTCTTCTTCCACCGTCACGTCCGTCTTCTTCTTCTTCCACCGTCACGTCCGTCTTCTTCTTCTTCCACCGTCACGTCCGTCTTCTTCTTCTTCCACCGTCACGTCCGTCTTCTTCTTCTTCCACCGTCACGTCCGTCTTCTTCTTCTCCACCGTCACGTCCGTCTTCTTCTTCTTCCACCGTCACGTCCGTCTTCTTCTTCCACCGTCACGTCCGTCTTCTGTTTTCCACCGTCACGTCCGTCTTCTGCTCCACCGTCACGTCTGTCCACTTCCTTCCACCTTCACGTCCGTCTTCTTCTTCTTCCACCGTCACGTCCGTCTTCTTCTTCCACCGTCACGTCCATCTTCTGTTTCCACCGTCACGTCCGTCTTCTGTTTCCACCGTGACGTACGTATTCTGTTTCTACCGTCACGTCCGTCTTCTTTTTCCACCGTCGCTTCCGTCTTCTTCCACCGTCACATCCACCTTGTTCCACCATCACATCCGTCTTTTTCTTGCACCGTCACGTCCGTCTTCTTTTTCCACCGTCGCGTTTGTCTTCTTCTTCCACCGTCACGTCCATCTTCCTTTTCCACCGTCGCGTCCGTTTTTTTCTTTTTCCACCGTCACGTCCGTCTTCTTCTTCCACCGTCACGTCCGTCGTCTTCTTTTTCCACCGTCACGTCTGTCTTCTTCCTACATCCTCATGTCAGTCTTCTTTTTCCACCGTCACGCCTGTCTTCTTTTTTCACCGTCACGTCCGTCTTCTTTTTCCACCATCACGTCCATCTTCTTTTTCCGCCGACGTGTCTTTCTTCCTTTTCCACCGTCACGTCCGTCTTCTTCCTCCACCGTCATGTCCGTCTTCTACTTCTTCCACCGTCACGTCCGTCTTCTTTTTCCACCGTCGCGTCCGTCTTCTTCCACCGTCACATCCGTCTTCTTCCACCATCACATCCGTCTTTTTCTTCCACCGTCACGTCCGTCTTCTTTATGCACCGTTGCGTCCGTCTTCTTTTTTCCACCGTCGCGTCCGTCTTTTTCTTTTTCCACCGTCATGTCCATCTTCTTCTTCCAACGTCACGTCCGTCGTCTTCTTTTTCCACCGTCACGTCTGTCTTCTTCCTACATCCTCATGTCCGTCTTCTTTTTCCACTGTCACGCCCGTCTTCTTTTTCCACCGTCACGTCCGTCTTCTTTTTCCACCATCACGTCCATCTTCTTTTTCCGCCGTCGTGTCTTTCTTCTTTTTCCACTGTCACGTCCGTCTTCTTCCTCCACCGTCACGTACGTCTTCTTCTTTTTCCACCGTCATGTACGTCTTCTTCTTTTTCCACCCTCACGTACGTCTTCTTCTTTTCCCACCGTCACGTCCGTCTTCTTCCACCGTCACATCCTCTTTCTATCCCCGACCCAGCGGTCTAAACCGTTCCTGGCCCATTTGAGATTGGGCACTTCATTTTTTATGCTCCGCCCACTTTTGGGATATTAAAATTTAAAATGAATAATTGACTTCTGTGTACTAAGCTCAGGCTTAGATCTCCGGAGAGATCATTGTTTTGTAGTGTCTATGTGCTCGGTCTAAGTTCATTGCCAATCTGTATGCAATTGTGTGCTGGCAGATTGCATGCAGATTGTAAACTAGCAGATCTGCCAGACAGATATCTGTGTGTGTGTGGTGGCCCAGCAGTCTGCAGACAAACAGCTTTCATTTTATACAAAAAATACAAAAAAATAAATACATACAGTATTCAATAAACTGGAAACATAAACAAAAAACAAGAACAGGACACATCTCCCTAAATCAGATATATACTTTCCACTGAATAATAACAGCCTTTATGGCTTTACTAACTGGGCAGGTAAGAAGCAGAAAAAAAGTAAAAAAAAACATCACCAAGACCCTTATGGCCTACTTATCAAGCATTAAATTTATCCTCCCCTTGTAGGGGAAGCAACTTCCACTAAACAACAACAGCCTTTATGGCTTTAAAAAACACTACTTGTCTACTCAACCAAAGCTAAGGAAACCTAGACCTTCAGGTGCACATAGCCTTTCTTCAAAAAGACTTCTTACCAAAATCTAGGGGGAATGAATGAAGAGGAAAAACAGGAAAGCAACCTCACCAAGAGATCAACAGATTGCAGCTACAGGCCTGATGTTCCTCCACGCCTCCATCCAGGCCTTTCGCAGCAACCTGTCTTTCTCTAGACCCCGAATTTTCCCAACCTCACCAAGGATGTCAACACCACCACCTGAACAGGAAGGACCTTCTGCCAAATGGAAACCTGACACTGTGCATTCCATGTGTAGTAACGGGTCACTAGACAAACTAAAAAAAAGAGTGTTCAAATCAAAACCAGTATGACTTTCCAATGCCCCATATACCCACTCTGCATAAGACATGCAGTGCAGGAAGGGGATGTCTAGAGCCCTCCACACCTCTTTATACACCTCTATGTTGAAGGGACACTGAAGCAAGAAGTGGTCCATAGATTCCACTTCGCCCCACACTCCGTCCTCGGACAACCACGGTTATCCAGAGAACGGTACTTCAAGTTTCCCCTCACATAGAGCCTGCCGTGGAACGCAAGCCAGGCCTGGTCCCTAAACTTCTAGGGAATCCTTTCCATATTTATCAAACATAGCCCCTCCCGCAAAATATGGCCTGGGCAATCCTTCAAGGCCAATGGTGCATGAAACGCAGAGGCCACGACCCTCTCCCTCAGGAGTCTCCCAGGGAGCGATCTGTCCTCTTCCGCAGTCACACACCACCGCCTCAGTATCTTCAAGCACAGAGCGACATAGCTTACCATGCCTGACTCTCAAGCTTCTCACTGGCCCGCCTCTCTCCCAGCAGTTCAGAAAAGGCTTAAACCAGACTTGGAAAAGGCCTACCCATGCAGGCGGTCTCTCTTTTAACATGCTACCAAGATTATGTTTAATAAACATCAGAGAGAAGAAAAACAACTGGGTTGACCTTACCTAGGCCACCCTCCCGCCTGGATCGATAAGTCACATTCCGCTTCACAAGGTTCAGTCTGTTCCCCCATAATAGCTGGAAGAATCCTACAAGGGTGTGCCAATTGCTAGACTGAGATGACTGCTCCCCAACCCTTAGAGTGCACCAGATTGTATGAAAGATTCCTATCTGCCTGTGTGTGGTCAGCCAGCTAGATTAGAATGGAATCTCCCTCTAGTGGTGGCCAGAGGTAGTGCGAACTGTGAAAGGGTATCCTGGCCAGTCATTATTGTTCTAAGTAAGTCCCCCTCATTCCCTCTTTACCCCAAGACTAGGGCCACGCCCCAGTTAGTTGCCATGATTGTGTGAGTGTACACTAAGTACATCTGCTATCCATCTACAAAGAAACCTGCATAGATCACATAACCACACGAATGAGGATGGAGGAGGACCAGAGTCACATGACTGAGAGGATACTAAACCTCACCTTGAAGATCATCTACCTGCTGACCGGAGAGGTGAGGAGGATTCTGGGAGGTCACATGACATCACTCTCATCTTTATTAATAAAACACAGACCTGACTGGAGAGGTGAGGAGGATTCTGGGAGGTCACATGCAGGGGCGGACTGAATATTTGGAAACTCGGGCACTGCCGAGGGCTGGGGATCAGTAGGGGGCCCCATGAGAGACCCTGGTACCTTTTTCATAGGCTTTTTTGAGTTTGGGCAAGGACACAGGGGCCCATGATCCCCTATTGCCCGGGGGCCCCAAGACTTGTCAATCCGCCCCTGGTCACATGACATCACTCATCTCTATTAATAAAACACAGACCTGACCGGAGAGGTGAGGAGGATTCTGGAGGGTCACATGACATCACACAGACCTGACCAGAGAGGTGAGGTGGATTCTGGGAGGTCACACGGCATCACATAGACCTGACCGGAGAGGTGAGGAGGATTCTGGGAGGTCACATGACATCACTCTGGTCTAGTCTGGCCAATAGACCATGTTCTTCTTGTAGACATGTAGATGATGTCAGATGATTGATATCGGTTTCTCTTTCTCCTGATCTGTAGGATTATGTTGTAGTGAAGAAGTCTAGTGGGGAGCCAATCTCAGGAGGATGGAGCAGGACCCAGAGCCCCACCATGGTGCCTCCCCCTCGTTCTCCCATACCTGAGAGGAACAAAGAGCAGAAGATCCTGGAACTGACCACCTTGATGGTCCATCTGCTGACAGGAGAGGTGAGGGGAGCGGTTGCCGGGAATTCTGGGACATTCTCCAGTAACAGACAAGGGATGTGTCTGAATGGTGACTGTATCATTGTGTGTGTCAGGTTCCTATAAGGTGTCAGGGTGTCACTGTCTATTTCTCCATGGAGGAGTGGGAGTATTTAGAAGGACACAAGGACCTCTACAAGGACGTCATGATGGACAATCAGCCGCCCCTCACATCACCGGGTAAGAGGAGACTTTATTGGAAAGGATGAGGAGAACAGTACGGAGGCTCCACCTAGATCCCCCATCATCTGATAAACACATAGAAACAATGGATTCGTCAGTGTATGTGTTTCCTACAGATGGATCCAGTCATGGGAACCCACCAGAGAGATGTCCCCGTCCTCTGTATTCCTGGGATTCCACACAGGAAGGTCACACCATCCCTCACCATCATCAGGTAGATGGATCCCAGTCATGGGAACCCACCAGAGAGATGTTCCCCGTCCTCTGTATTCCCGGGATTCCACACAGGAAGGTCACACCATCCCTCACCATCATCCGGTAGATGAGGAACGAGTATTGGTTGTTCTGATTTATACACAGCATACTTGTTACAATGATTTTTTTATTATCTATTCAGATTGGAAACTTCAAAGAGTATAACTTTGTTGGAAAAGAAGAGTATAAAGAGGAGGATGAGGAGTATGGAGTGATGGTGGAGTTTTCAGAAGGACACAAGGATGTGATGGAGCCACCTAATACCAGGAACCCACCAGAGAGATGTCCCTCGTCCTCTGTATTCCGGGATTCCACACAGGAAGATCCCACCATCCCTCACTATCATCAAGTAGATGGATCCAGTCATGGGAACCCACCAGAGAGATGTCCTCGTCCTCTGTATTCCTGGGATTCCACACAGGAAGGTCACACCATCCCTCACCATCATCAGGTAGATGATGTACAAATCACAACTATCAGTGATTGTTCCTCAAGCTTTCTTGTTATAATGTACATTTTATTATATATTTAGAGTGAAAACTTGAAGATTATAATATTGTTGTTAAAGAAGAGGATGATGAGTATGGAGGGATGATTCTTTCTAAGGGACAGAAGGACCTCTACAAGGACGTCATGATGGACAATCAGCCGCCCCTCACATCACCGGGTAAGAGGAGACTTTATTGGAAAGGAGAGAGCACTATATACTCTGTTGTAAATTACATACTCCTGACCCCTGCACTATATACTCCATGTTGTACATTACATACTCCTGACCCCTGCACTATATACTCCATGTTGTACATTACATACTCCTGATCCCCTGCACTATATACTCCATGTTGTACATTACATACTCCTGACCCCTGCACTATATACTCCATGTTGTACATTACATACTCCTGACCCCTGCACTATATACTACTCCATGTTGTACATTACATACTCCTGACCCCTGACCCACTATATGTTTGTACATTACATACTCCTGGACACCCTGCCATGTTGTACATTACATACTCCTGACCCCTGCACTATACACTCCATGTTGTACATTACATACTCCTGACTTCTGCTCTCCCCCACTGTACATTACATATATATCTCCCCACACTGCTATATTATACACATAATATGTCTTCTCCTCTGTTCCCCCCCATTTCCTACCAGCTGGACATTTTATATTGGATGATGTGATTGGAGCACAGACTGTTACATGGTGATAATAATGTGATCACATCTTCCAACCAGAAAGTTATAATGGGGGAGGAGCCAATACCCCAATGATGGTGGTCTTCAGGATGGGGAGGAGCCAATACCCAATGATGGTGGTCTTCAGGATGGGGGAGGAGCCAATGATGGTGGTCTTCAGGGTCAGGATGGAGGAGGAGCCAATACACCAATGATGGTGGTGTTCAGGATGGGGGAGGAGCCAACACCCCAATGAAGGTGGCCTTCAGGATGGGGGGGAGGAGCCAATATCCCAATGATGGTGGTCTTCAGGACCAGTCCAGTCTCTCCCTTTTGGTCCCCCTCCCCCCATCCTCACTCTCTCTGACCTCTGGTGGGGCCCCTGTGTAGTAATCCTCTTTGTCTTTTTAGTCCATGGCCGGGAGATGAGGAAAACCTCCGAGGATTGTCTCACTTTGTCTCCAGACTGGAAAGTAGAAGATGAGGACATCACACAGTATAGTCCAGGAGAAAACCCGGCTCCATCCAATGTCCATCCGGCACCACCCAGTGTAGATGAACCATCGGATTCCTCATATCCTGAGGAACCTCAGACTGTGCGGAACCGGGCCGTCCTTCCAACAGAGAAGAGGTTCTCCTGTACTGAGTGCGGGAAGGGTTTCCGTTATAAATCCGGTCTTATTCTGCATAAAAGATCTCACATGAGTAAGAAGCCACATTCCTGTCCTGAGTGCGGGAAATGTTTCCGTTTTAAATCCCGTCTTATTGTGCATAAAAAATCTCACACAGGAGAGAAACCGTATTCCTGTCCTGAGTGCGGAAATTGTTTCCGTTTTAAATCCCATCTCATTAGGCATAAAAGGTCTCACGTGGGGGAGAAGTCGTATTCCTATAAATCCGGTCTTATTCTGCATAAAAGATCTCAAATGAGTAAGAAGCCACATTCCTGTCCTGAGTGCGGGAAATGTTTCCGTTTTAAATCCTGTCTTATTGTGCATAACAGAACTCACACAGGTGAGAAGCCACATTCCTGTCCCGAGTACGGGAAATGTTTTTCATTGAAATCCAATCTTTACAAACATCAGAGATTGCACACAGGGGAGAAGCTGTATTCCTGTACTGAGTGCGGGAAATTTTTTTCAGATAAGTCCGATTTTTTATTCTCATCAGAGGACTCACACAGGTGAGAGACCATATTCCTGTGCTGAGTGCGGGAAATGTTTTTCATGGAAGTCCAATCTTTATACTCATCAGAGGACTCACACAGGTAAGAAGCTGTATTCCTGTGCTGAATGTGGGAAATATTTTCACATAAATCACAACTTGCCAAACATCAGAGGTCTCACACAGGGGAAAAGCCATATTCCTGTGCTGAGTGCGGGAAATGTTTTTGTCATAAATCAGATGTTATCAAACATCAGATGATTCACACGGGGGAAAAATCATATTCATGTCCTGAGTGCAGGAAATGTTTTTCACGGAAGTCCCATCTTTACGGACATCAGAGATGTCACACAGGGGAGAAGCCGTATTCCTGTTCTGAGTGCGGGAAATGTTTTTCAGTGAAGTCCAGTCTTTGCAGACATCAGAGATCTCACACAGAACAAAAGCCGTATTTCTGTCCTGAGTGTGGGAAATGTTTTGCAGATAAGTCCAGTCTTTGCAGACATCAGAGATCTCACACAGGGGAGAAGCCTTATTCCTGTCCTGAGTGCGGGAAATGTTTTGCAGATAAGTCCAGTCTTTCTGCACATCAGAGATCTCACACAGGGGAGAGCCCATATTCCTGTGCTGAGTGCGGGAAATGTTTTTCACGGAAGTCCAATCTTTATACTCATCAGAGGACTCACACAGGTGAGAGACCATATTCCTGTGCTGAGTGCGGGAAATGTTTTTCATGGAATTCCGATCTTTATACTCATCAGAGGACTCACACAGGTAAGAAGCTGTATTCCTGTGCTGAATGTGGGAAATATTTTTCACATAAATCACAACTTGCCAAACATCAGAGGTCTCACACAGGGGAAAAGCCATATTCCTGTGCTGAGTGCGGGAAACGTTTTTGTCATAAATCAGATGTTATCAAACATCAGATGATTCACACGGGGGAAAAATCATATTCATGTCCTGAGTGCGGGAAATGTTTTTCACAGAAGTCCCATCTTTACAGACATCAGAGATGTCACACAGGGGAGAAGCCGTATTCCTGTTCTGAGTGCGGGAAATGTTTTTCAGTGAAGTCCAGTCTTTGCAGACATCAGAGATCTCACACAGAACAAAAGCCGTATTTCTGTCCTGAGTGTGGGAAATGTTTTTCACAGAAGCCCCATCTTTACAGACATCAGAGATCTCACACAGGGGAGAAGCCTTATTCCTGTCCTGAGTGCAGGAAATGTTTTGCAGATAAGTCCAGTCTTTCTGCACATCAGAGATCTCACACAGGGGAGAAGCCGTATTCCTGTCCTGAGTGCTGGAAATGTTTTTCAACTAAGCCCAGTCTTTCTGAACATCAGAGATGTCACACAGAAGAGAGGTCATATTCCTGTCCTGCATGTGGGAAATGTTTTTCAAGGAGGTTCAATCTTTACAGACATCAGAGATCTCACACGGGGGAGAAGCCACGTTCCTGTCCTGAGTGAGGGAAATGTTCCTCACTGAAGTCCTGCCTTCCTGCTCAGCAGGGGTCCCACACAATCCTCAAGGTGTATTAGTGTCTTGAGTGCAGGAAATGTCTTCTATATGAATTTTGCTGGGTATCCCCAGCTCATGATCTGAGGAAGGGGCCAGTCCCTGAAACATGTTCTCATGATGACCGGCTTTTCTCCATTGGTTTGACATGGCTTGAGTGCTCTGGATTGTCATGTCATCCACCTGGTGAGAGACCACCCAAACAAGGGCTGGTGAGGGCAAACTGGAAGCCTAGGGGAGCACTCAAGCCATGTCATACCAAAAGAGAGAAGCCAATCATAATAACATGTTTCAGGGACTTGCCCCTTCCTTAGATCATGAGGAAGGGTCAAGGCTTCTCACCATTGGTATGACATGGTTATGGTGCTCCCCTAGGCTTTCAGTTTGCCCTCACCAGCCCTTGTTCTGGTGGTCTCTCACCAGGTGTATGACAATCCAGAGCACTTAAGCCATGTCATACCAATGTCCCCTCCCCCCATTGTCTATGTCGGGATCTTTCCTACCACACTTTGTTATAACAATGGAACACGTTGTGTATTGTACGCCAATCAATATTGACTCCGCCTCCACATTCCAGACAAGGGATCTTCCCGACCAATCGGATTTCTGCCTTTACTGTCCCCTGATTCTATGACTGTAATCTTTGTACAAAGTAAAATTCTAATAAAATATGTAATGAATGAACAATAAATAGTGAGTGTCTGTGCGATGACGGCAAACGGGTATCCAAAGATGGCTGGTAGGTAACGCTGTACAGGTCATCTGTGTACAGTTAACCAGGAATGCTGGCCCAGGTGCAGGGGTCAGGAGTATATCGTATACAGCCCAGGTGCAGGGGTCAGGAGTATATCATATACAGCCAGGGTACAGAGTGCAGGGGTCTGGAATATATCATATACAGCCCAGGGTACAGAGTGCAGTGGTCAGGAGTATATCATATACAGCCCTGTGTATAGAGTTCAGGGGTCAGGAGTATATCATATGCAGCCCAGGGAACAGAGTGCAGTGGTCAGGAGTATATCATATACAGCCTTGTGTATAGAGTTCAGGGGTCAGGAGTATATCATATACAGCCCTGTGTATGCAGTGCAGGGGTCAGGAGTATATCAAATACAGACCTGTGTATTGAGTGCAGGGAGCAGGAGAATTCATCTGGGGTCTGGGGTGGTGCACCAGAAGGGCTGGAGAGTTCTTCAAGAAGAGACAGTTTGGTTGCTAAGGAGATATTTGTAGTTCCCTGGGCATCCCATACACTACTCAACCCCATCCTAGTTCAATACCCCTTAGTGGAATCACAAGAACAAGCTCGAGGACCGTCTCTAGTGCAAGTGTGGAGGAAAATGTGAGTTGCCTGGTTGTGCAGATCCATAGGGGGACCCAGGACTTGGCGAATCCTAAGGGGGGGTAGTGCTACACGTATATAAAAAATAATTTATTTTCGCCATTTTGTAGTTTACAGACAATATGTGGAAGGCATCTACACCTGAGGATGTGAACATAATATATACGAAACGCGTTGAGTTATAGGATGTATATCTCCATTTTTTATCAGACGTGTTCTTTAAAATATTATGAACGATTATTTTAAGAATTGTATACTTTATGTTGATGCTTGTCAGATATGAGAACTAACTTGGTATTTTGAATCCTCTGATGTATGGACACGGTTTAGAAAAATGAGAGGAAGACTCTGAATACCCATCAGATCCCAATGGGGAGGAATCTCCTGCTGGATCTCTATACTGATATGGACGGGGGATGGGTGAGGAATGTAAGGACGCCACATTGTTTGATGGAAATGAAAATGATCGACCTACAGAGGACTGAATTCAAAGACATACCGAAAATCAAAGTGAAGAAATGATGCAGCAGGCGAGTCCATTGTGCTGAAAAGTCATTGCAGCAACTCAGAATGGTTGTCAGGAATGGACTTGCCAGTGGTGGTGGGACTCACCTGCCTTGTGGGCTGCAGTACCAGGGCTGGCCAGCGGGTGCTCTCAGCAACCAGAGGCTGACTCCTGCAATGAGCCATCACCTGAGGCTGATTGCAGCAGGTGTATTTAAGGAATGGCCAGGCCTGTGATCAGGGCCTTGGTGTAATGTTTCCCATGAGCCCCTGTACCTGCATCCTGTCTGCTTCCTGATTCTGCTTGATCCTGACTCTGAGTGAACTCTGCCTGTCCTGACCTCGGCTATTCCTGACCCCTCTTCCGCTCTCTCCTGGTACCCTGTTTGCCCGTTTGCTACCGACCCGGCCTGCCCGACTACGTTGATTTGTATATATGGTTATCTGTTGGAGTTTGGGTTGTTTGCACTGTGTTATGTTTACCTTGCACTGCGTTTTGTGTTGTTTAGTCTTAATAAATTGTCTTATTTACACTATGCCTGAAGCCTGCGTTTCCCTGTGTCAGTCCACACATTTCTGGTCATACCCGGATCCCTAACAGAACACCAAGGCCATTCCTGACCAGAAGTGGCTGCACAGGGAAGCCATCTTGGCTTATTGTTGTGAAGGATGCATCCGGAGGAGGTTATATACTTGTGTCTACTAGTCTTTGATGACAAAGAATATGCCTATGAGACTCTGCAGGAATATACCAGGGATCAGCTGCTAGAATGCATACGGGTCGCGCATTCCCTGGTAGATCAGGGCACAGAGTTCTCTGAGGTGCAACCATTAATTCAGGCTTGTGTGTGGAGTTGGCTTCAGCTAGTACCCCTGAAAGCAGGGATGACTTTTTTCCCCCATTCAGTGCAGATCAAGTGGAATCGCTGGTATGGTTGTTGGAGGAGGATCCAGATTGCTTCCATGAGCATTATGCAGCTTGTCCATCTCATGTGCTAGTGGAGTGTATAGACGCAGTGCAGTCTTTGGTCAGACAGGCTATGTGTAAGCGGAGTTGTTTTCAACCCATACTACAGTCCTGGGCAGACTTGTTACACCCAGCCTCAGTCAGCTTGCAACAAACCAGTCCTGCTTCTCATCATTCCTCTGCTCAAAGCTCTCTTCCTGCACTCCCGACAGCACCCCCAATGACAGCCCAGTATACCCTGCTAGCTACCACGTCAGTCCCCTGCTCCCACTCGCTGCATCTATCCTGCCTTTTACCCTGTAAGGAAGCCCTCTGTAGCAACTGCTCCCTCCTTTGTTCCATCCTCCGGCTCTATCCTGTCTTCAGCTGCTCCATCCGTTTACAGACCTGCGTTTACTTACAATGCTCCAGTAACTAAACCCAAGAAGAAGTGAAAATTCTTTCCAACCAGTACCATCCTACCAGTATCCAAATCGGTCAGCCTGCTGTCTGAGAACCTGCCTTCTGTTATCCAGCCTGGTGCCCGCTGTTCAGCCTGATGCCCGGATGCCTGTGTACCCGATCCGGCCTGATGACCCGATCCATCCTGATGACCCGATCCAGCCAGATGACTCAGTGCCCGCTCTCGAGCTTGGTGACCCAGTGCCCGTGGTTCTGCCAGATGACTCGGTGCCCGCTGTCGTGCCAGACGATTCGGTGCCCGCTGTCGTGCCAGATGACTTGGTGCCCGCTGCCCTGCCAGATGACTTGGTGCCCGCTGTTGAGCTTGGTGACCCGGTGCCCGTGGTTCTGCTAAATGGCTCGGGCCTGCTGTCGTGCCAGATGACTCGGTACCCGCTGACATGCCAGATGACTCGGTACCCGCTGACATGCCAGATGACTCGGTGCCCGCTGTCGTGCCAGATGACTCGGTGCCCGCTGTCGAGCTTGGTGACCCGGTGCCCGCGGTTCTGCTAGATGACTCGGTGCCCACTGCTCCGCCTAATGGCCCGGTGCCCGCTACTACGCCTCCGCCTGATGGCCCGGTACCCGCTGCCTTGCCTGCTGCTCCGCCTGATGGCCTGGTGCCTGCTGCTCCGCCTTATGGCCCGGTGCTCCGCCTGATGGCCCGGTACCCGCTGCTCCGCCTGATGGCCCGGTGCCCGCTGCCTTGCCTGCTGCTCCACCTGATGGCCCGGTGCCCGCTGCTCCGCCTGATGGCCCAGTACCCGCTGCTCCGCCTGATGGCTCAGTACCCGCTGCTCCGCCTGATGGCCCGGTGCCCGCTGCTCCACCTGATGGCCCGGTGCCTTGCCTGCTGCTCCACCTGATGGCCCGGTGCCCGCTTATGCTGTTACACAGCTAATATTTATGTTAATGTACATGAGAATTCATATAGTTTATTCTTTGTACCATTTCCTATGGATATTTCTATAGTTAGTTATATGCTGCCATCAGGTGGTCTTATTTGTTTTTCATGTTGCCTCCCTGAGATCTATGACACAATTCCTGTGCATATGAAGCTCCTCCCTTCTTCTTGAGTACAGTACTTCCTGTGTCATGGAGGCAGCTAACAGACCACATGTAACAGGGACACATGTATTCTGCATAGTACGCTACAGAAAGTATCATCTTTTGACCGCATAATACTGGAAACCATTCATTCTGCTGTATCCTGTTTCACATGTACAGAATAAAGCAACTTCTGGATGAACACAGTATTGGTGAGTTCAAGCTATCTGATAAGGATTGTCCACAGTGATTATATCTGCTTATACAGGCTAGGCAGAGAGGTCTCACAAGGGATAAATTGCTATCACAACAATCTGAGTCAGAATAGTCAAAAGATGCATAGAATCCCTCCAGCCTGCTGTGTATATGTGTGTGCCTAATCTGCAATCAAGCTCAGTGCCATCCGCCATCTTGCAAAGCACATGGTCGCACAAACTTACTGCACTTCATGTGAATGTTGAAAACTGTTTCTCTGCATTGAACTGTGTTACCCCACCTGTCTAAGCTGCTGTTCGTCTTCATAAAGAGACAGTACCAATTTTTGCAGAATAGTAAAAAATGTCTAGACAAGGCTCTGAACACTCCTTTATGGCCGAACCAACGCAGATACATCATTCCCCTGAACCAGCAGACGTACGGGGAGCAGATTCTGCAGACATTCCCAAACAGAGCGTAAAACCCAAACGTACAATAAAACCGACACAGAAACTCAGGGAAAACTATGAAGCCACTAGAGATGAGTTCTTCAGTAATCTGTCAGAACTCTGGGACCGAACTTCACAATGCATGTCAGTTTTGTCACACTTTAATGATCAACCAGCTGAATTAAGAGACTCTATAAATCACCTATCTGCTGCGTATGAACGCTACCAGCGGCTGTCTCTGTAAAATACTCAGCTTTCTTGCAGGACTCTAATATAGAGGATTCTTCAGCAGAACTGACCAGGACTGATGCACTAAACCAACAAAGGGATCTTGCAGTGCAAAATGCTAAGTTTAAAGCAGAACTCCGCATTACTCAACTGCAGGAGACCAGATCTCACAGATCCACCTTAACCAAGCGCACTGCACTTTCTTCTAGATCCTCTCGCTCCAGAAGTTCGACATTAAGCGATAAGCTAATAGAGGCCCGTGCTGATGCTGAATCAAAAAAGGCGCAAAGCTCTTTTACCAGAAAGGAAGCAGAGGTAGAAGCACGCAAGATAGCTCAACAAGCAGAGATGATAGCTCAGCATGCAGAGATGGAAGCTAAAAGCAAAGCTCAGCAAGCAGAGATGATAACTCAGCAAGCAGAGATGGAAGCTAAAAGCAAAGCTCAGCAAGCAGAGATGATAACTCAGCAAGCAGAGATGGAAGCTAAAAGCAAAACTCTCCAAGCACAAATGGCTTCTCAACAAGCAGAGGCAGATTCCCAAATAAAGATTCTGCAGATGGAAGGGGAGGAAGCAGCTTCCCTAGCAAGGCTGAAAGTCCTCGAACAAGCAATGGGACAAAGTACTAATTCAGACTGCCTTATCCCAGCAGAACTGGAAGATTCAGTTGAACGCACCAGCGAATACGTATTAAAGCATAACATTTGCAAAGATACAGAGTCATCTCCTGTACCTCCTAACAACACTGTTCTGACTCTCAATACAGAGACCTCTCAGCTCCATATGCCTAAGCCTCTTCAAATCTACAACACAAGTACATCTATGCAGCAAACCACGTCAACTCCTGCCAACAACAAGGTGACTTCCAGTGACAAGTCGCAGCTCAAGCCACAGCCAGCACAAGCCTTAGAGACTACACCACAGTTAAACGCTCATGCAACATCATTTTACCCTGGTAAACCTCACCCTACATCACCAGAGAACTTTCACACCCAAGGGGTTGCACAAGTTACTTTGGCACCAAAGAGTGAGAGGTCAGACTTGAATGACTTTGCCAGATATATGATTCGCCGTGAGCTCATTAACACCAGCCTCTCAAGGTTTGACGACTGTCCAGAGAGCTACAGGGCCTGGAGATCAACCTTCAAGGCTGCTATTGCTGATCTCAACCTTACTACTAGAGATGAGCGAATTATTCAAAAATTCGATTCGACTGATTCGGCGAATTCGTGAAAAAATTTCGATTCGAGTCGAATATATTCGCTGCGAATTTAACTTATAAAAGGGTGTTTCTAGGCTTCAGAGAGCCTTTATATTAGTGCAGAACACTGTACCTTTAATATAAATGCCCTTGGAGTCTGCTGGGGAAGAGAAATAATACTGTCAGTCAGTATGACATGCAGATGAGTGCCGTCGATCTTAGAATCACCGCACACTTCACTCATTTGGGCACTCACGGGGCCAAAACCAGAGTGTGGAGCCACAGTGTGGCGGTGGAGGCAGCAGCAATGGGAGGCCATACAGCACCCTATGACAAAAATGGAAACCACCAGCAGTGTGAGGAGACCTGAAAGTGGCACATGGCAGAGTGTGGCGATGGAGACAGCAGCAATGGGAGGCCGTACAGGGAACCATGACACACTCTGGACCTACAGGGGCAGCAGCATGAGGAGGCGGTACAGGGGCCCATGACAGATTACGGGCCTGGCAGGCAGCAGCATGAGGAGTTGGTACAGGGGCCCATGGCAGATTACGGGCCTGGCAGCAGCAATGGGAGGCCGTACAGGGAACCATGACACACTCTGGACCTGGCAGCAGCATGAGCATGAGGCGGTACAGGGGCCCATGACAGATTACGGGCCTGGCAGCAGCATGAGGAGTCGGTACGGGGGCCCATGACACACTCTGGACCTGGCAGCAGCATGAGGAGGGGTACAGGGGCGCATGACAGATTACGAGCCTGGCAGCAGCAACTTGGACAGGAGGACGTTCAGCTTCTGCACCGTCGGGTGCGTGCTCGCAAACTGTTGTCTCTTGTAAACGGATTCCAAGAAAGACTGCTGACGGAATCCGTGAAGAGGAGTAGCAGGAGAAGGAGCATCTGAACGAGCGGAATATGCCAACAAGCGACAACAGGGGCCCATGACAGATTACGGGCCTGGCAGCAGCATGAGGAGTCGGTACGGGGGCCCATGGCAGATTACGGGCCTGGCAGCAGCAATGGGAGGCCCGTAATCTGCCAGCACCCTATGACAAAAAATGGAACACACCAGCAGTGTGTGAGGAGACCTGAAAGTGGCACATGGCAGAGTGTGGCGATGGAGACAGCAGCAATGGGAGGCCGTACAGGGACCCATGAGAGACTCTGGACCTGGCAGCAGCATGAGGAGGCGGTACAGGGGCCCATGGCAGATTAGGGGCCTGGCAGCAGCTATGGGAGGCCGTAATCTGCCAGCACCCTATGACAAAAAATGGAACACACCAGCAGTGTGAGGAGACCTGAAAGTGGCACATGGCATGAGACACTGTGGACCTGGCAGCAGCATGAGGAGGCGGTACAGGGGCCCATGGCAGATTAGGGGCCTGGCAGCAGCTATGGGAGGCCCGTAATCTGCCAGCACCCTATGACAAAAAATGGAACACACACCAGCAGTGTGAGGAGATCTGAAAGTGGCACATGGCAGAGTGTGGCGATGGAGACAGCAGCAATGGGAGGCCGTACAGGGACCCATGAGACACTCTGGACCTGGCAGCAGCATGAGGAGGGCGGTATAGGGGCCCATGGCAGATTAGGGGCCTGGCAGCAGCTATGGGAGGCCCGTAATCTGCCAGCACCCTATGACAAAAAATGGAACACACCAGCAGTGTGAGGAGACCTGAAAGTGGCACATGGCATGAGACACTGTGGACCTGGCAGCAGCATGAGGAGGCGGTACAGGGGCCCATGGCAGATTAGGGGCCTGGCAGCAGCTATGGGAGGCCCGTAATCTGCCAGCACCCTATGACAAAAAAAATGGAACACACCAGCAGTGTGAGGAGATCTGAAAGTGGCACATGGCAAAGTGTGGCGATGGAGACAGCAGCAATGGAGAGGCCGTACAGGGACCCATGAGAGACTCTGGACCTGGCAGCAGCAGGAGGAGGCGGTATAGGGGCCCATGGCAGATTAGGGGCCTGGCAGCAGCTATGGGAGCCCATAATCTGCCAGCACCCTATGACAAAAAATGGAACACACCAGCAGTGTGAGGAAACCTGAAAGTGGCACATGGCAGAGTGTGGCGATGGAGACAGCAGCAATGGGAGGCCGTACAGGGACCCATGAGAGACTCTGGACCTGGCAGCAGCATGAGGAGGCGGTACAGGGGCCCATGGCAGATTACGGGCCTGGCAGCAGCAATGGGAGGCCCGTAATCTGCCAGCACCCTATGACAAAATGGAACCCACCAGCAGTGGAGCTGGTGCTCTACTCCGTGGCCGTTTGCCTCCACTGACACTGCTGCGACCCTGCTGCCTCCTGGGCAACCCACCGACTGTTTTGCTCGCTGCCAAGCTGCCACCCTCTTCTCCTGATGATGCGGAAGCAATAGCCTGATGACGACGAGGCTGCCAAGTGCGATCAGCCTCATCATCATCAATTAGGGTCTCCGCCTCACTACTAGCCCCCTCGGCTGCGTGTGTGGGTCAGGAGACAGACCTGTCTCTAGACCGGCTACCGAGCCACTCTCCTCGCCACTACTTCTTCGCCTGGCTGCTGAAGAGGCGGATGTCTCCCCCCGTTCCTGACCGCCCTCTGTTAGCTCTTCCTCACTGTACAGTGGGGCTGAGCCCACAGCATACGATACTTCGCTTGGTGAGGGAACACCAAAGGACAGGGGCAGGTCGAGGACACGTGATTTCAGTGGGCTTGCTCCCGGGCCATGCCAACTAACGGTTGTGTCTGACGTACCCACCGACCGTTGGCTGTAGGTGTCAGAGGTGACCTGGGAAGAGGAAGATGACCGAGCCAACCAATCGATGACGGCAGGGTTGTCGGTGGAGACACGACCGCTGGATGACACGGGAGCACTGGCCTCTGGCTGCGACTAGTGCTGCCTCGACCCCTTCCTCTGCTGCCACGTCTGCTCGCTCCTAAAACATTGCCTCCTCTGCCACTCCTATGCATGTTGTCTGACATACTCTTTAATTAAACGATTCTGTGTCCCTGAGTAACAATTCTGTGTCTGTCCCTGAGTAACAATTCTGTGTCTGTCCCTGAGTAACAATTCTGTGTCTGTCCCTGAGTAACAATTCTGTGTCCCTGAGTACCAATTCTGTGTCCCTGAGTACCAATTCTGTGTCCCTCAGTAACAATTCTGTGTCCCTCAGTAACAATTCTGTGTCTGTCCCTGAGTAACAATTCTGTGTCTGTCCCTCAGTAACAATTCTGTGTCCCTCAGTAACAATTCTGTGTCTGTCCCCGGAGTAACAATTCTGTGTCTGTCCCCGGAGTAACAATTCTGTGTCTGTCCCTGAGTAACAATTCTGTGTCTGTCCCGGAGTAACAATTCTGTGTCCCTCAGTAACAATTCTGTGTCTGTCCCGGAGTAACAATTCTGTGTCCCTCAGTAACAATTCTGTGTCCCTCAGTAACAATTCTGTCCCTCAGTAACAATTCTGTGTCCCTCAGTAACAATTCTGTGTCTGTCCCTGAGTAACAATTCTGTGTCCCTCAGTAACAATTCTGTGTCCCTCAGTAACAATTCTGTGTCCCTGAGTAAACAATTCTGTGTCCCTCAGTAACAATTCTGTGTCCCTCAGTAACAATTCTGTGTCCCTCAGTAACAATTCTGTGTCCCTCAGTAACAATTCTGTGTCCCTCAGTAACAATTCTGTGTCCCTCAGTAACAATTCTGTGTCCCTCAGAGTAACAATTCTGTGTCTGTCCCGGAGTAAACAATTCTGTGTCTGTCCCGAGTAACAATTCTGTGTCCCTCAGTAACAATTCTGTGTCTGTCCCTGAGTAACAATTCTGTGTCCCTCAGTAACAATTCTGTGTCCCTCAGTAACAATTCTGTGTCCCTCAGTAACAATTCTGTGTCTGTCCCTGAGTAACAATTCTGTGTCCCTCAGTAAACAATTCTGTGTCCCTGAGTAACAATTCTGTGTCTGTCGCTGAGTAACAATTCTGTGTCTGTCCCTGAGTAACAATTCTGTGTCCCTCAGTAACAATTTGTCTGTGTCCCTCAGTAACAATTCTGTGTCCCTCAGTAACAATTCTGTGTCCCTCAGTAACAATTCTGTGTCCCTCAGTAACAATTCTGTGTCCCTCAGTAACAATTCTGTGTCCCTCAGTAACAATTCTGTGTCCCTCAGTAACAATTCTGTGTCTGTCCCTGAGTAACAATTCTGTGTCTGTCCCGAGTAACAATTCTGTGTCTGTCCCTGAGTAACAATTCTGTGTCTGTCCCGGAGTAACAATTCTGTGTCTGTCCCTGAGTAACAATTCTGTGTCTGTCCCTGAGTAACAATTCTGTGTCTGTCCCTCAGTAACAATTCTGTGTCTGTCCCTCAGTAACAATTCTGTGTCTGTCCCCTGAGTAACAATTCTGTGTCCCTAAGTAACAATTCTGTGTCCCTAAGTAACAATTCTGTCCCTAAGTAACAATTCTGTGTCCCTAAGTAACAATTCTGTGGCCCTAAGTAACAATTCTGTCTGTCCCTAAGTAACGATTCTGTGTCCCCTAAGTAACACGTTATTCTGTGCCCTAAGTAACGTTTCTGTGGCCCCTAAGTAACGTTTCTGTGGCCCTAAGTAACGTTTCTGTGGCCCCTAAGTAACGATTCTGTGGCCCTAAGTAACGATTTCTGTGGCCCTAAGTAACGTATTCTGTGGCCCTAAGTAACGTTTCTGTGTCCCTAAGTAACGTTTCTGTGTCCCCTAAGTAACGATTCTGTGGCCCTAAGTAACGTTTCTGTGTCCCTAAGTAACGTTTCTGTGTCCCTAAGTAACGATTCTGTGGCCCTAAGTAACGTTTCTGTGGCCCTAAGTAACGTTTCTGTGGCCCTAAGTAACGTTTCTCTGGCCCTAAGTAACGTTTCTCTGGCCCTAAGTAACGTTTCTGTGTCCCTAACTCTCTCCCTCAATACAGCCAGGTCTGCCTCTCTTGAATGACTGGAGGCAAATGGAGAATTCTAAAATGGCCGCAATTTATAGCTCGACCATTACACAGTGCTGGCTGGCTGGCTGCTGATTGGCTAATGCGATCACATGTCATGAATGAATGCATTATGGGTCAGCGCGCCTTGTCTGCGCGCCTTCCCAGAGATCCCCGCTCCGTCGCCGCACATGTCGCCGCCATTTTTGGAAAAATTTCGATTCGCGCATCCGAAGTCTGCTAATTTTCGGGTTTCGTCGCGAATCAAAATTTTCCTAATATTCAAAACGAATTCCACTTCGCCAAGTTCGATTCGCTCATCTCTAGTAAGTACATCATGTCACTAATGATTTATGAGCACTTGGTAAAATGTTTTTTCAGAGGAGTATTTTATGTGGAATTATTTTGATATTTATTTGGAGGAGATTGATTAGTTGAAATTATCTATTTAAATATTTTTTGGTATTTATACACTTTTTAGTTATTTGTATCATAATTTGAATTAATTTAATGGTAATAATTTAATTATTTATTGAGAAGTATTTAGGAGCGAAACATATATTTGTAGTAATAAAATTAGGCCCCCAATTTTGTTGATTTTGGCCTTTACCGTCAAACATATAATTCACCAATGCCAAATACACAATAGAGCTGCAAACATATATTCATCAATGCCAAATACACAATAGAACTGCAAACATACTGTATATTCACCAATGCCAAATACACAATAAAACTGCAAACATATATTTGCAAATGTCATATACCCAATAAAGCTGCATGAAAAATTGCTATGCACAAATAAACGCCAAGACGGCTGTTGGAGGAGGTACCGGAAATAGGTCATCACGTTTGTGGAAGGACGTTTTGCACACACCCGGAAGTGGTAGTGGGGAGTGTTAGTGGATGGGAGTGTAGTTAGGAGAGTTTAGTTGTAATTTGCTAAGTCTATTTTTTTGGCTTTGTGAATTGTTCTTTTGTGGAATTTCAGACCACATCTGGACATGGCGAGATCGCTGTTCTCAACTAAGGAACTGATCCTCATTTTCAGGGGAAACATTACTAATAATTGTATTTTCAGTTGAAAACATGTCCGATTCCTAGATACATTGAGGTACTTAGCATAGGTTCAAGGTATTCCATAGAAGAAGTTAATGTTCTTCCTAACTATACAGGTGGCACAGACACAAGCATACACCCAGGGCCACTTAAATATCACGGGGCCCCGTACACCATACCTGACAGCCTCCCACCGCCAGAGAAAATATCCAAATTATATTTATGATAAAAATACACTAAAAACATTAATAATGGACACAATCCCATTCATATTCCTGCTAAATCTAAATGATAAATAAAGTTAATAAATAAAGCTGTGTG